GCAGAATACAGTGGGGATAGCACTGTGCCAGAATACAGAGGGTAAGAGCTGTGGCAGAATACAGTGGGGATAGCACTGTGCCAGAATACAGAGGGTAAGTGCTGTGGCAGAATACAGTGGGGATAGCACTGTGCCAGAATACAGAGGGTAAGAGCTGTGGCAGAATACAGTGGGGATAGCACTGTGCCAGAATACAGAGGGTAAGAGCTGTGGCAGAATACAGTGGGGATAGCACTGTGCCAGAATACAGAGGGTAAGTGCTGTGGCAGAATACAGTGGGGATAGCACTGTGCCAGAATACAGAGGGTAAGAGCTGTGGCAGAATACAGTGGGGATAGCACTGTGCCAGAATACAGAGGGTAAGAGCTGTGGCAGAATACAGTGGGGATAGCACTGTGCCAGAATACAGAGGGTAAGAGCTGTGGCAGAATACAGTGGGGATAGCACTGTGCTGGATAACAGAACGGTTAGAGCTGTGGCAGAATACAGTGGGGATAGCATTGTGCCAGAATACAGTGGGGGTAGCACTGTGCTGGATAACAGAACGGTTTGAGCTGTGGCAGAATACAGTTGGGATAGCACTGTGCCAGAATACAGTGGGGTTAGCACTGTGCCGGATAACAGAACGGTTAGAGCTGTGGCAGAATACAGTTGGGATAGCACTGTGCCAGAATACAGTGGGGATAGCACTGTGCCAGAATACAGAGGGTTAGTGAGACACACTCAGACACAGCACGTATGTGGCGTTACACGCCGGCAAGGTTGACTTGGTCACTCAGACACAACAAGGATGTGGCGTTACACACCGGCAAGGTTGACTTGGTCACTCAGACACAGCACGTATGTGGCGTTACACGCTGGCAAGGTTGATTTGGTCACTCAGACACAGCACGTATGTGGCGTTACACGCCGGCAAGGTTGACTTGGTCACTCAGACACAGCAAGGATGTGGCGTTACACGCCGGCAAGGTTGACTTGGTCACTCAGACACAGCAAGTATGTGGCGTTACACGCCGGCAAGGTTAATGTGGTCACTCAGACACAGCAAGGATGTGGCGTTACACGCCGGCAAGGTTGACTTGGTCACTCAGACACAGCACATATGTGGCGTTACACGCCAGCAAGGTTAATGTGGTCACTCAGACACAGCACGTATGTGGCGTTACACGCCGGCAAGGTTGATGTGGTCACTCAGACACAGCACGTATGTGGCGTTACACACCGGCAAGGTTGACTTGGTCACTCAGACACAGCAAGTATGTGGCGTTACACACCGGCAAGGTTGATGTGGTCACTCAGACACAGCAAGTATGTGGCGTTACACGTCGGCAAGGTTGACTTGGTCACTCAGACACAGCACGTATGTGGCGTTACACGCCGGCAAGGTTAATGTGGTCACTCAGACACAGCACGTATGTGGCGTTACACGCCGGCAAGGTTAATGTGGTCACTCAGACACAGCACGTATGTGGCGTTACACGCCGGCAAGGTTAATGTGGTCACTCAGACACAGCAAGTACTTCCATGGTTTGTGTTCCTGTGTTCAGTATTGTCTATGGATTTTATTCTGTCTGTCCAGAATTTTATATAGTCCAATCTTGTATTTCATATTGTCTCCCTCATATAAATATTTTCTTTCAAGCTTCTAATATTTTCCCTCTTGTATTTGTTATTTTCTAAACTAGTATACATTAGTAATATCTGTTTAACATTAAATAAATATTTCTCTGGTATTAATGATTGTCTCCCTTGTATGTAATGTTATCAATCCTGGTATTTTATATTGTCTCTCTAGTAATTGATATTATGTTTCTAGTATTCCATAATATCTCTCTTGAACTTAATATTGTCTAACAAGGTATCTAAATTTGTTTTTAGCATTTAATATTTCTTCAGAATTCAAAATAATTATCTCAATTAAAACTTGTATAATATCATTCTCTATTATCTTACTTACGTATGATAATAACCTAACAATGTCTTATCCTAATATTGCAATGACACAGAATCTAATGTTTCATCCAATCCCTACAATTTGCAGTTCCACAGACCATCTTCTCCTGAAACTCCACCATGCCAGAGAAGCTTCATTAAAAGTCCTTCCTAATGGGATAATCTGGGATTTCCCCCGAGCCCCGTGCTGAGTGCATGCTGGACCCCAGAGTGACCATGTGAGTCACTGACCAGTACTGCTACATCCGCGCCCCTCCCCCAAGTGTCCCTGCCCCCCCCCCCCCCCCCCCCCACACACACACACACACAAACACCTTGTGAAGTGAGTTGAGACATGTCTGTATCCAGCCTGTATCACACTGTTCATCAGTCAAGAGATCACTCAAGCGAAAAACTGCTTCCACTTATTGTAACATTAATTTCTTGAGGGTGAGAGTGCTGTGCTGTTGAAAGGACAATTGTTAGCCTCTTCATGATTTCATTCAGTCTAAAGCTGCCACCTCAGTTCTCCTTCCAAATTGAAATGATCACTATACATTAACATCTACATCTATAACAAAATTGTCAAACAAAACCAAAACAATATATGATATTCAACACGGATGAACGTTGAGAAATATGAAGATCTCCTGTTGTCTAGGTAGTGCATGTGTACCAGAATGTGGGGACTTCACGGATGCTGCCACAGTCACTGTTTCATCCGAGCTAGCACAGATTAAAGTTTCATTTATTTGTTGTCGCTATTCATGTCAGCAAGCAAACTTCAGTGAAAGACTCTATGAGACGTCATTCCGTCTGGAAGCTCCCCCCCACCCCCCCACTGATGATGGCTGATGGGGAAGTCTGCATACCTTGTTCTTTAAAATTCACTTAATTACTTTCATTATTTCTACTAAAATCTAACATTAGATATAAACGTTTATCCTACCTAAACTTTATTTATTTAGCCTTAACTAAATATTGATTTTTATTTGTTTTCTCTTTTAAGCTGTCCATTTTTATTGCAGTAGGAATTAATCTCTATGTTTATATTTCATTTTTAATTCTTTCCAAGTTGATAATTTTTCCTGTCTTCAGGCCAGAATATGGAATGTTGAAATGTTTCCCCTGGACAGCCTTCCCAGCGGAACGGTTTATCTCTGACACTAGTGTCTGAATCAATGTGACATTTCTGTACAGACTCCAGTGTCCATATCAAGCAGGTCAGGTTAACGCTATCAGCTTTTGAAACAAAATGTCACCTGAAACAAAAAATAATTCGAAATCTATGTTTTCATTGATTCTACAGGCTATAAAATGGCACTAAAAGTATGATTCATTCATGTGGAAATATCCTAAACCAGATCTTTTCAATGAGAACAGCACCTACACTGTAGTACCGACACTACAACCACTTGTGAACCTGCATTTCATTGTAGTACCGACACTACAACCACTTGTGAACCTGCATTTCATTGTAGTACCGACACTACAACCACTTGTGAACCTGCATTTCATTGTAGTACCGACACTACAACCACTTGTGAACCTGCATTTCATTGTAGTACCGACACTACAACCTCTTGTGAACCTGCATTTCATTGTAGTACCGACACTACAACCACTTGTGAACCTGCATTTCATTGTAGTACCGACACTACAACCACTTGTGAACCTGCATTTCATTGTAGCACGACACTACAACCACTTGTGAACCTGCATTTCATTGTAGTACCGACACTACAACCACTTGTGAACCTGCATTTCATTGTAGTACCAACACTACAACCACTTGTGAACCTGCATATTATTGTAGTACTACAGAGGTGGAAGAACACGGGTCAATGCAACATTCTACAGAGATGGAGGAACGCGGGTCAATGCAACATACTACAGAGATGGAGGAACACGGGTCAATGCAACATACTTCAGAGATGGAGGATCACGGGTCAATGCAACATACTACAGAGGTGGAGGAACATGGGTCAATGCAACATACTACAGAGATGGAGGAACACGGGTCAATACAACATACTACAGAGGTGGAGGAACATGGGTCAATGCAACATTCTACAGAGGTGGAGGAACACAGGTCAATGCATCATACTACAGAGGTGGAGGAACACGGGTCAATACAACATACTACAGAGGTGGAGGAACACGGGTCAATGCAACATACTACAGAGGTGGAGGAACACGGGTCAATACAACATACTACAGAGGTGGAAGAACATGGGTCAATGCAACATACTACAGAGGTGGAGGAACATGGGTCAATGCAACATACTACAGAGATGGAGGAACACGGGTCAATACAACATACTACAGAGGTGGAGGAACATGGGTCAATGCAACATTCTACAGAGGTGGAGGAACACAGGTCAATGCATCATACTACAGAGGTGGAGGAACACGGGTCAATGCATCATACTACAGAGATGGAGGAACATGGGTCAATGCAACATACTTCAGAGATGGAGGAACACAGGTCATTGCAACATACTACAGCGATGGAGGAACACAGGTCAATGCAACATACTACAGAGGTGGAGGAACATGGGTCAATGCAACATTCTACAGAGGTGGAGGAACACAGGTCAAGGCATCATACTACAGAGGTGGAGGAACATGGGTCAATGCATCATACTACAGAGATGGAGGAACATGGGTCAATGCAACATTCTTCAGAGATGGAGGAACACAGGTCATTGCAACATACTACAGAGGTGGAGGAACACAGGTCAATGCAACATACTACAGAGGTGGAGGAACATGGGTCAATGCAACATACTACAGAGGTGGAGGAACCTTGGTCAGTGCAACATACTACAGAGGTGGAAGGACATGGGTCAATGCAACCTAATACAGAGGTGGAGGAACATGGGTCAATGCAACATACTACAGAGGTGGAGGAACCTGGGTCAATGCATCATACTACAGAGATGGAGGAACAGGGGTCAATGCAACATACTACAGAGGTGGAGGAACTCGGGTCAATGCATCATACTTCAGAGATGGAGGAACACGGGTCAATCCAACATACTACAGAGGTGTAGGAACATGGGTCAATGCAACATACTACAGAGGTGGAGGAACCTGGGTCAATGCATCATACTACAGAGGTGGAGGAACATGGGTCAATGCAACATACTACAGAGGTGGAGGGACACGGGTCAATGCATCATACTACAGAGGTGGAGGAACATGGGTCAATGCAACATACTACAGAGGTGGAGGAACACAGGTCAATGCATCATACTTCAGAGATTGAGGAACACGGGTCATTGCAACATACTACAGAGGTGGAGGAACATGGGTCAATGCAACATACCACAGAGGTGGAGGAACACGGGTCAATGCATCATACTTCAGAGATTGAGGAACACGGGTCAATGCAACATACTACAGAGATGGAGGAACACGGGTCAATGCAACATACTACAGAGGTGGAGGAATATTGGTCAATACAACATGCTACAGAGGTGGAGGAACATGGGTCAATGCAACATACTACAGAGGTGGAGGAACATGGGTCAATGCAACATACTACAGAGGTGGAGGAAAACGTGTCAATGCAACATACTACAGAGGTGGAGGAACACGAGTCAATGCAACATACTACAGAGGTGGAGGAACACGGGTCAATGCAACATACTACAGAGATGGAGGAACACGGGTCAATGCAACATACTACAGAGGTGGAGGAACCTGGGTCAATGCATCATACTACAGAGGTGGAGGAACACGGGTCAATGCAACATACTACAGAGGTGGAAGAACATGGGTCAATGCAACATAATACAGAGGTGGAGGAACATGGGTCAATGCAACATACTACAGAGGTGGAGGAACACGGGTCAATGCATCATACTACAGAGATGGAGGAACACGGGTCAATGCAACATACTACAGAGGTGGAGGAACATGGGTCATTGCAACATACTACAGAGGTGGAGGAACACGGGTCAAAGCAACATACTACAGAGGTGGAGGAACAAGGGTCAATACAACATACTACAGAGATGGAGGAACACGGGTCAATGCAATATACTACAGAGATGGAGGAACACGGGTCAATGCAATATACTACAGAGATTGAGTATCACCCAGTTGGTTTTCTTCAGCACAATAAGTGATCAGGTTGGATTTTCAAAAAGTCAAGCGTAAATGCACACCGCACCTGCAGAGCTGTGAGAGACTTGTGTCCACGTGAGTCACCAGCCATCACACAGCATTTGGCAAACAAAGACTTGAGATGAGGTAGGCAACCTATCTGTCTCCAGGGACTGATGTACTCCTTTAGTGATTACTTTCTGTTTGGATAATTAATCACCACCTTTAGGAAATAATGCAATGGAAAAGCGTTTAATGATGTCTGTGAATCACACCTGCACAACCCCTCTCCCTGGGATCACTTCCCACAGATGAAATGACACTTGAGGGTCACCCAGTCTTAGTGGTTCTGTCACGGCATCAATACCGTACACACTACAGGAGAGAAGGACCATTGTATACTGGTACTACTGAATACGTCTGAAGGAATAGAACCAAAGCAAGTTTTTGCATGATCACTCTTCTGAATAAGTGATGGGATTCTCCCCTAGTTACTACACACATTCTGGACACAAACACCCACCCTTGCCATCTTATAGAGGACATTTATCTTTACTGATTAACATCAAATTGCTTCACTTATTGTTTACATACCATTGCAAGACATAAAGGCAACCAAGTTGACATAATTGCTCTGTGACATTTAGTGACATTGTGTACATGTGTACAGGAGTGAGTGAGTGAGTGAGTGAGTGAGTGAGTGAGTGAGTGAGTGAGTGAGTGAGGTTTTACGTCGCTTTTAGCAATATTCCAGAAATATCACGACGTGGGACACCAGAAATGGGCTTCACACATTGTACCCATGTCAGGAATCAAACCCAGGTCTTCAGCATGACAAGCGAACGCATTAACCACTGGGCTACCCTACCACCCACAGGACATTAAGGGGTGGTGGGGTAGCCTTGTGGGTAAAGCATTGGCTCATCCACGTTTGATTCCATACTTGGGTACCAGGGCGGTGATGGTCACTCACTCATTCACTCACTCACTCACTCATTCACTCCACACGGTTCCACACAGGTCAAGATTGCTTCACAAAACTCATTCTGAACACTGTTTTGTCATAGGAGAGAGAAGAGATATAACTAGATTTTGTAAAGCTGCTCTGGAGTTTTATTGGAAACAAGTAGGTGCTTGCAGTAGCAGCCCCATCCCAACCTTATCTGAATGTCTCAAACTTTCCCATCAAAAACATGCATCATGAACAATTTTGACTTGACCACATCCAGTGACAGATGACCTCGCACATGGCCCCTGCGGGACACGTGAAGAGCACTTCCTGGCTACCAGGTTGTTTGTAAATTAGCAAAACGCTAAAAATGACACCACATGGTTTATCTCATGCCTGGATCTGGATCAAACAATTCATACCTGATAAATGTGCAGGTCCCGGTTCCTGGGCAGATGATCTTTGTGACACTGGGTCAATGGGGAGATAATCATGAGGCCCCTATACGTGTTGGTCATCTTTCACACTGCTATCAGTAACCGTGAGTTAGCTACATCAAACGTGGACAGTGAATCAGTTGTTATTGAGTCATTAGAGACGGCAGGCAATATAAAACAAGTAAAATACTTCAGTGACCTTTGAAGGAGATCTCACATTGTCTACCACTCACACTTCAGAAGTCATCAACATACAGTTGATTGTCACTGTCAGTAAATCCCCCAACCTTATACACTGAGGGGATATTAACTTTTGTCTTGATTGCTTCCATACCACTTCATAAACGTCTTCGACATCTCCGATGACACATCAGAAATTCATGACTGTCTGAACCAAGAACTAATCAGTTTACAAAGTTTAACACAAAATTCAAGTTCTATCTCCCCACTGAACATCTTACACAGAAAAGAGGAACAATAAACTTGGGCCTGTGTCGAGGATCCACCTAAGGAAGGATTCCGAGACGAATTATTGGATAATATATTTGTGAGTGACACTTTGTTGCTCATTCAGTTAATGTACTGGTTGTGGGGTGATCAATGTAGAGAGCTAGTGGATGATTGGTGTAGAGAGGTAGTGGGATGATTGGTGTAGAGAGGTAGTGGGATGATTGGTGTAGAGAGGTAGTGGATGATTGGTGTAGAGAGGTAGTGGGATGATTGGTGTAGAGAGGTAGTGGGATGATTGATGTAGAGAGGTAGTGGATGATTGGTGTAGAGAGGTAGTGGATGATTGGTGTAGAGAGGTAGTTGGATGATTGGTGTAGAGAGGTAGTGGGATGATTGGTGTAGAGAGGTAGTGGATGATTGGTGTAGAGAGGTAGTGGGATGGTTGGTGTAGAGAGGTAGTGGGATGATTGGTGTAGAGAGGTAGTCGATGATTGGTGTAGAGAGGTAGTGGATGATTGGTATAGAGAGGTAGTGGATGATTGGTGTAGAGAGGTAGTGGATGATTGATGTAGAGAGGTAGTGGGATGATTGATGTAGAGAGGTAGTGGATGATTGGTGTAGAGAGGTAGTGGGATGATTGGTGTAGAGAGGTAGTGGGATGATTGGTGTAGAGAGGTAGTGGATGATTGGTATAGAGAGGTAGTGAATGATTGGTGTAGAGAGGTAGTGGATGATTGATGTAGAGAGGTAGTGGGATGATTGGTGTAGAGAGGTAGTGGGATGATTGGTGTAGAGAGGTAGTGGGATGATTGGTGTAGAGAGGTAGTGGATGATTGGTGTAGAGAGGTAGTGGATGATTGGTGTAGAGAGGTAGTGGGATGATTGGTGTAGAGAGGTAGTGAGATGATTGATGTAGAGAGGTAATGGATGATTGGTGTAGAGAGGTAGTGGATGATTGGTGTAGAGAGGTAGTGGGATGATTGATGTAGAGAGGTAGAGGGATGATTGGTGTAGAGAGGTAGTGGATGATTGGTGTAGAGAGGTAGTGAATGATTGGTGTAGAGAGGTAGTGGGATGGTTGGTGTAGAGAGGTAGAGGGATGATTGGTGTAGAGAGGTAGAGGGATGATTGGTGTAGAGAGGTAGTGGATGATTGGTGTAGAGAGGTAGTGGATGATTGATGTAGAGAGGTAGTGGGATGATTGATGTAGAGAGGTAGTGGATGATTGGTGTAGAGAGGTAGTGAATGATTGTTATAGAGAGGTAGTGGATGTTTGGTGTAGAGAGGTAGTGGATGAATGATGTAGAGAGGTAGTGGGATGGTTGGTGTAGAGAGGTAGTGGGATGATTGGTGTAGAGAGGTAGTGGATGATTGGTGTAGAGAGGTAGTGGATGATTGATGTAGAGAGGTAGTGGGATGATTGATGTAGAGAGGTAGTGGATGATTGGTGTAGAGAGGTAGTGAATGATTGTTATAGAGAGGTAGTGGATGATTGATGTAGAGAGGTAGTGGATGAATGATGTAGAGAGGTAGTGGGATGATTGATGTAGAGAGGTAGTGGATGATTGGTGTAGAGAGGTAGTGGGATGATTGGTGTAGAGAGGTAGTGGGATGATTGGTGTAGAGAGGTAGTGGATGATTGGTATAGAGAGGTAGTGGATGATTGGTGTAGAGAGGTAGTGGATGATTGATGTAGAGAGGTAGTGGGATGATTGGTGTAGAGAGGTAGTGGGATGATTGATGTAGAGAGGTAGTGGATGATTGATGTAGAGAGGTAGTGGATGATTGATGTAGAGAGGTAGTGGGATGATTGGTGTAGAGAGGTAGTGGGATGGTTGGTGTAGAGAGGTAGTGGATGATTGGTGTAGAGAGGTAGTTGGATGATTGATGTAGAGAGGTAGTGGGATGATTGATGTAGAGAGGTAGTGGGATGATTGGTGTAGAGAGATATGGTGTTGCCCTGCATCATTCTAAACAGTGAGAGAATGTGTGAATGAGCATAGATTCATATACTTTCAGGGAGTTCAAATAGGCTAAAATATAATTTGCCTCACTAATCATAGCAACCATATGAAGGTATTGGAAAAAATACTCGTCAAGTTTTAATGTAATCCGACCAGCCTTCTGCTGCACCAGCCAGAGGCAACCCGAGTTGAGACTTTTTTCAATGACAACTACTTTTTAATTAGAGTTCATCCCTTACTACACACAATCAGTGCTTGAGTAATAGATGCTTCTTGATGCAATGCCAAAGTTATAGATGCTTGTTAATGCTTGTTAACATGTTTAATTTAAACAGATGCTTGTTTATGCAGTGCTTTGCCTATAGATGCTTGCTGATGCAATGTTTAACCTGTAGGTGCTTGTAATGTGCATATTTATAATGCACCAAATCCATGCCCTAAAGCGTGCTCAAAGCACTACATTATTTCCCCTGTCAATGGATCAGTGCACTCCATTTTCATTCTCAGCACCCTGGGGAGTATACAACCCAAGTTGCCTGTGAGGCACGAGAAGGTGAACAGCCCCATTACCATCTCATCGTACCAGGTACCCATTTGCTGCTGGTGAACACATATCAAACAAAGTCACTTGCCTGAGGAGTCTGATTTGTGACCTATGCACTGTGGACGGGACCACGTGCCACCACATAGTGATGCAGTGCTTAACCTGTGCTTGTTGATGCAGTGCCTAACCTGTGCTTGTTGATGCAGTGCTTAACCTGTGCTTGATGATGCAGTGCTTAACCTGTGCTTGATGATGCAGTGCCTAACCTGTGCTTGTTGATGCAGTGCTTTACCTGTGCTTGATGATGCAGGGCCTAACCTGTGCTTGATGATGCAGTGCTTAACCTGTGCTTGTTGATGCTGTGCCTAACCTGTGCTTGCTGATGATGTGCCTAACCTGTGCATGATGATGCAGTGCTTAACCTGTGCTTGATGATGCAGTGCTTAACCTGTGCTTGTTGATGCTGTGCTTAACCTGTGCTTGTTGATGCTGTGCTTAACCTGTGCTTGTTGATGCTGTGCTTAACTTATAGGTGTATGTTGATGCAGATACCCTTAAAATGACCTAGCTATGTCACTGTTAGACACAGATTTTCAGCGTATTGCACTATTCTTTTGCTAATGATAGCAATTATCCCACTATTTTCTCTGATTCCCGATGGTTAATTCTGACTCGATTG